CCGGACTCCCATGGCTGCCGCTAAGCCGGACTCCCATGGCTGCCGCTCAGCCTGCCAGTACACTGAGGGCCATAGGCGTTCTCTCCACACACTGGTGCAGAATCATCCTCCTGAGGCGCGTGCTAGCCCTTTGGACTTGCACACTTGCAAATCGGAGGCCTTTGGAGGCCACTCCTGTAAGGCCAGCGTGTGGGGGCCAGTGGGGGGAACCATGAGGTCGAGGCCCGCCCGGCCAAGGACAAGGCTCTGGCTCAAAACAGTTTTTCTTTCAGTTAAACCACGGGGTTTTTCGGGACTGAATACTCCCATCGCTGGGGCTGAACGTGGGAAGACAGAGACACGGGAGATGGTGTGAGGGGCAGATGGGTGTGGCTGACCCCAGACATGAGCCCACCCTCCTCGCACAGCATCCCCTCTCCCGGGCTCTGTATGAGGGTCTGGGCTACACCCTGGGGCTCCTTTGTTGCCGTTGTCACCACCCCCTGGCACGGGTTAACGTTTGGGAACCCCGATTGACTAGTTTATTCCAGTCAAATGAAAAGGGAGCCAGGTCTGGGGGGCTGAGGAGGGTGCCGGGGGAGGAGCGGAGGAGAGAAGGAGAGAAACAAAGGCGCTGACTTACGTGAGGACATAATTGACACTCACGATGCAGTGCGGCCGGGAGGAGCGGCTGTTGTGCACCACGGTGGCGTAGCTCTGCACCCACACCCAGCCGCCCAGCTTGGACAGCAGCCGGTAGTACTTGGTGGTGACCTGGCCCTTCACGAGCACTGCAAGCACAGGGTGACGTGAATGCCGGGGAGTCTCCCAAGGTCCTGCCCCCCACCTTTGAGAACTTGGGGCAGGCTTTCACCATGCCCACACAGGAACGTCACCTACAACTTGGCAGAGTCCCTAGGGCAGCCTGTTGCCCTCGTTAAGAGCCCGGGTTTAACCATCACTGCTTTCACGGGAGAAAAATGCCCACGATGTCCCCAGCGATGGATGGTAAAATCCCATCAGCCCAATTTGGGGGTCTTAGCCCCCAAACCCTAAACAGGCAGGGGACTTGGCTGTTTGGACAGAGTGCTAACATCAGTGCATCCAACCAAGTGTCAGATTGGGGCTGACACTTGCCATCTGTCAGGGTGCGTGCGAGAGTGTGTGTGTGTGTGTGTGTGTGTGTGTGTGTCCGTGTGTGTTCATAGGGAGCCCACTCCCTACTCGAGGGCCATTTATAGTTTCTTCCCAATCACCTGTTTTCCTCAGGCTGTTAATTTCCTGTGCTGTTCATGTCAGAAAGCCCGCTGCTCCTGAAAACTGGGCCCCTGAGCCCTCCTTCCACGCATGGGTGCAAGCACTGGGCAGCTGGGCAGCCCCCAGAGCCTCTCTGAGCCCGTAAACCACCACCTGCAGCTCTCAAGCGGGAACACGGAGGAAAGTCTGGACATGCCAGGAGAGCAGAAGGCTGAGCACACTCACCCCCGGCTCTAGAACACTCCTGTGCCTCAAGGCTGGCCTGGGCCAACCTGAGAACCACCCAGCAGAGATTGGGGGAGAAGCCGAGGGCTGAGGCTGTGCCGGGGCTAGCTGGTACAAAAGGACACACACACATACAGTCAGACCGAGAAGCCACACAAACTCAGTCCTCACGCTGAGGACTGAGACCCCAGTCTGCCCAGCATGCCCCAAGCTCTCTCTGCTGCTCACCGATCTGTGTCAGCCGCAGTAAAAACTGCTTCAAGACATTGTGATGCATCCGGGAAATTGTGCAGATTGACGGTCAAAAGATTGTGGGAGGCACTAACATCTCCGCAATGTCTGTGACTTGTTCTGAAATATTTGCTTCCTAAGTAAGACATGTGCCGTGAACTGGCTGCATTTTACCCAGCCAGGTGTGGTAATTACAGAAATGAGAGGATCTCCACAGGGATGAAGCTAGCGTGGACTACAGAATAAATGCCAGACTAACTACAATGTGAGACCATGTCTCAAACAGACACACACACACACAAACAAACACACAGATACACACAAGTAGACACAGACTTACACACACAGACATACAACACACACAGAGACTCCACCATGATTAATAAAAGCATCTAGACCTAGAGGCAGTGTGATCTGAGGAGATGCACCAACAGTAATAACAAAGAATAAACACAAAGGGAAAAGGGAGCAAACGCTCAGCTTGTTGACTCAAGGTGGGATCAGTACGAAGCGAATGCCATGTAGGCTGTGTCTGTGTGAGGCGCCCACAACAGGCACATCCACAGAGCCAAAGCCCATGGTGGCTTTGGGGTCCAGAGGGCAGGGCAGGCAGGCAGGCAGGCAGGAACAGGGCGGGCGGGCGGGGACAGGGCAGGCGTGTCTGGGAGCGTGGCAGTGCTCTGAGGTCACACCACAGTGAGGTGCACTGTGGCTGAGCTGCTGAGACCTTAGAGGTTGAGCGTGTGCTGTGTGACTTGCGTTTGAGGGAAGGGCAGCAGCAACAGAGCTGATCTGGGGGGACTGTCCCAGGATGAGGGGGACAACTCAGAGAGCTTGCTGGCAGGTGGGGGGGGGCCTAGAGGGCCGGGGTCTGAGATGACGTGAACAGACTGGTGTGCAGGAAGGTTCAGTGCAATCTTGTGGCGACTTCAAGGGCTTCCTGTGTGTTCTTGGGGAGGGCTCTGCTGACACAGAAATGATTGACAGGGGTTTGTGACACTGGAGAATACACTTGGTGCAATGGAAAGAAGCTCAGAAATGAGAGAGTGTAATCCTAACTTTAAAACCTTCCTGCGGGGACACACTCACTCAAACTGTGATCTACTCCTAACCAGCCTGTGCCTCAGTTTCCTCCTTTGAAGGACAAGCACAGTCACCAAGGCTTCACCATTTCTGTGAGGAACTGTGGCGGTAGAGGGGGCTCCACACACGTCCTTATCTGACTGGGTCTCCTCATCGTCTAAAGTCCTAACAAAGGATGAACCATCAGCTGTTTGGTTTAACATGGGAAAGTGTTTTCTATCAGCCATGTAACAGGCACCTCACCCGGAAGTCTCAGCCATCTTTTCTAATGCTGTGTGATAGTCATCCTCTGACCCTGCTGTTTGACACTCACCCTCTGACCCTGCTGTGACACTCACCCTCTGACCCTGCTGTGTAACAGTCACCCTCTGACCCTGCTGTGACAGTCACCCTCTGACCCTGCTGTGACACTCACCCTCTGACCCTGCTGTGACAGTTACCCTCTGACCCTGCTGTGTAACACTCACCCTCTGACCCTGCTGTGTAACACTCACCCTCTGACCCTGCTGTGTGACAATCACCCTCTGACCCTGCTGTGACACTCACCCTCTGACCCTGCTGTGT